AATCGGCTACTGCAGCGAGATCTTCTGCTTCTAACCACACGGCAGTTTTTTCAAACTGTATTTCCAATAATTCCATAATATCGTGAGAACTAACTTCTACATACTGCTCATTTAATACGCTAACGAGTGCATTGACTCCACAATAACCGTCGCGAGGGATTTGCGCTAATACACAGGCCGATGTTGCCATTTCTTGTATTCTTTCCCTGTCATCGAAATTTGAATTGTTCATCTCATTTATAACGGTGTTAACTGTATTGTCATTACCGCTAAGAAAATTGATTTGTATTTTTTCATTATTAACATTAAGTTCTATTTTAGAATCAGCGAAATTAATAATTCCCTTAAATTTATTTAAAAAGTCCACCCCTAAAAGACTGTTACAATTCAAATTTTGGACGACCGCGCATTGTATTTTTACAAGTATACCGTTGAAATATACTTCTATGACTGTTCTACCAATCAATTTTAATTTTTCTCCATTAGCAGCATATAATTGTGTCGCGCCATAGGATTTAATTACTTGTTCTTTTGGAAGTATCTTATCACTAACAACACTGACGCTCGCTCCACTGTCCAAAACAAACTTATATAATACATTATTTAGATTGCCTATTATTACTGGGTCTTTCCCTATATAATTTATATCATTAAATATACAACTACTTATGCGCTCTATTTGGGGGGGGGTTATCTAAAGTTGCTTGATTTACATTAAAGTCAGGTTTTTGAGAATGTTTAGTATCAAAACTCGACCTGGCTTCCGGGTTTTGACCCATTAGTTTTTTGCATTGCTTTGCTGATCGCCCGAGTTATTATGTCTATCGTCTCTCCTGTCATTGTTTTTAAAACGCGAGTTATAGTTTTTTGAATTGCGCCTATCAAAGTCATCCTCATGACTATCCGAAAAATTTCTGTTTCTACCCCTATCGTCTCCATTATCGCGTCTTGTATCCCTATAATTTTCGTTGTTATTATTACGATTATTGTAATTTCTACCGCCGCTATTACCGCTAGATCTGTTATTATTACCATTATTATTGTTATTGTAATTACGATTCCGGTTATTATTACCGTTATCGTCATCTCTAGGCCTGTTACTGTTATCTGAATTATTGTTATTGTTAAAATTGCGGTTCCTAAAATTATTACCATTATATCTGTTGTTATTGTTGTAGTTCCTATTTCTGGAATTGTTATCGCTAGCCCTATTATAATTGTTATAATTGCGGTCCCTAGTATTGTTACTATTATTATTAGGATTGCCCCTAAAGTTACCAGTATTATTAGAATTGCCTCTAAAATTATCATTATTTCTAAATGGCTTGTTATTTATGCTTGCTTTGACCCTCTCAAGCTCTTCCTTCAACTGTCTTACCTCATCGCTGCTGTTGCTTTCTCTGCTGACCCTGAGTTTCTCCATTTCCCTTTTTAAAAACTCAATCTCCTTTGCTGGGTTTTTTCGGATCGCATTAGCCACTTCATACGCCTTTACATTCTTCGTTATCTTATCTACTGACGAATTATCCAGTGAATATATTTTCCAGTAGACATCCTCTGGTAGACCTTTCAATATCAGTTTTGTTATCTCCTCTTCAGTCATTTTATCGCTCACTTGACTGCATTCGGTAACCACATTCAGAATGTATTCCTGTTTCTCTCTCTTATTTAAATTTTCTCTCAACAGTATTCGTTGCTCTTCTGAGTTGTAGTATTCTAAAAATTCCTTTTTCAAATCCGCCCATTTCAAATCTGCAGTTTTGGCCTCGATTCTCTTATACAATTTTTTTGCTTGTTCTCTCAAATACAGCGGAAACATTATTAGTCGTTGCGCCTCGCTCCAACCATTCGCGGCTGATATCCTATCATAAGTTTCCAGGTAATCATTAATATCTTCGGTCAGTCGACCGGAAAAACACTGCGGGGTAATACTCATTTTTACTTTGTGTGCGTCGAATACGAATCGTCCTGCCTCAGGACTTACTTTAACACTATCGGAAAAACTAGACGCTTCCGCTGATGTAGAGGGCTTATCAGTTGCGGGCGCGTCTGTCTTATTATCAGAAGGGATTACAGTATTATCTAAGTCGTCAGACGATGTGGTACTATCAGAAGTGTCAGATATGTAACTATGGGGTTTAGCTTCCAAAACCTTATCTAGATTATCACTATCACTGTCCTCGTCCGAATTATGCGCGTCTACCAAAGGATTTTGCTTAAATGTCTCCCTTAACCTATTTTTTAAGACCCCTATTAGAGAAGATACTGGCGCTTCTTCTCCTAATTGCGCTAATATATTGATAAGATCGTTTTTCGTACAGTACCGATACAAATAACCCTTCTTATCTTGTTTCAGTAAACTAATTTTTTCAGCTAATGACCTACTATGAAATTGTGATAAAGTGTACTTTGCAGTACTAACGGCTTTTAACACAACAAAGTTGTCGTATTTATGAATAGGCACACTAACAAATGGAGTTTTAATATTCCTACAAACTTGTAACGCTTCTAGAGTATTAATTTGTTTTGCCTGTTTAAAATGCTCAACTAAGTCTGATGCCGATATGTCTTGGACATCAACGTTGCGATCAAAACCTAATATTCCCCACGATCGCGAATTTATACGAATCGTTTGATTATTTTCAACCCTTTTAATATAATAATTATACAGCGTCATATGTTACATATTAATCAAAATAATAAAAATGTATATTAAAAATAAAATCGTAAATTGTATTTAAGTGTGTTACTTAATGTCCAATATGACTAATAATTGTATTATAAAATATTTACTGTATTATGTATACAATGTCATGAATTTAATAATTAATTTGCTGTATAATATGTCGCCTTATAATTTTTTAATTCTCCAAAGCAATTTGTACCCTAAATTACAAACCTCTACACAACCTGAGGGTAATACGTATATATTTAGTGTAGTTGTTTGGGGATCGTGTCCGTAGTCTCAAAAAATGGGCTCTCCCCTAGAGTAGAAATAAAACTAACGGAAAACGGCGCCTCCACCAAATTGTAACGTCGCTACTTGACTAGCTTACCAAACTAGTCTGAGTGCTCGTCGATAAGGTTAAAGTAGACGGCCCCTGACGGGAAACGGTTGGCTAGTCCGCTTTACGCCTAAGTAACCCTAAAGTCTCCTTTATAAATTTACTATATCGCCCGAGGAGCTTAACGGGCGATCACACTAAAATAACGGTAGTCGACCCTCAGGTTATGCAGGCTACAAAGTATTTATTAATAACTAAAAAGCAGTGGCAAATCAATATACAAAATATGCAATATATATATATATATACAGTCTGACCTGAATACTGGCTGGTGATGATTGGGATCAGACCGGAGTCGAGCGGTGCGCACACAGAGATGACCGGTGATAACCGTAGGCGAATTAAGGTACACAAATAATAATCAAGAAGGCTGTATGGATGCGTAGGCGCGTGATGGTAAATCTCGACTGGTTAATTAGATGATACGCGAATGTCATCTCAGTGTGTCAGCGCTCCCTACCTAATTAGGTCATTAGTGATGTGTCCATAGGTTCGGGGCGCGAAGTAACGGTCGGGCTAAATGTGACCGTTACAAAAGCAATGTTGTATTTTATTACAGCAGATTATAAACATGAACAACTAAATTTTGTTTAGAAATCTAATTAAAAAATGTGTTCCAACACCGTTAGCTTAAAAAAATAATTACAACCATAAAATAATAATAGTGCACTAATTATTTATCTTACATAAGTGACATGGCCTTGTAATAGCTTACAATAGCTTGCATACAATTTAATGCAAAAATACCAATAATTACGTCGTACAATAAATATCAAATAACACTAATATCAAAGCATACAATTCTATACCAAAAACTAAAATAATTGTGTAAAAACCGGTATGTTTTATTGCAGTGCCATGATATGATAATAATGGGTATTTTGATAAGCTGATAATCGCAAATCTCAATTGTACAATTTATTTTTACGGGAAAGAATATTTCATTTGAGTAGTGTAAGAAAAGTTAAAACGGTGAGCTTTGTACACGACACGCAGCACGCCTTGTAGGTATATCATATTTAAAAATGGCAGATTTAAAAAGAAAGAAGTCCGCACCAAGTCAATGCAGAACAAAAAAAGTCCTTGACTGACTTTATGGTTCTGCATCCCGACCTTGTGAAGGGAAAACACACAGCAAGCTTCGCGCAAGCAAAGTCCATAGCTCTATGGCTGGAAATGACGGAGCAGTTGAACGGTATGGAAGGTCCAAAAAAAGACTGGAAAGCTTGGCGACGTGTAAGTGTATTTTTATATATTATATCTTATATCAAGAAAATATTTGAAAAATAATTAACACGTGACCAAATCAATCATCATAAATAATAGTGTATTGAAGTTATATTATAGACGTTTAGAATTACTCATTATTATTATTTTTAATATGCTTATACATAAGCCCGACATGAGGACATTAAAAAATATGTTTTTAATTTTATAATGTAATTAGAATAGAGGGACCACTGAGCTGCACTAGTATAATATTGCTAATGTTCAATAAAGACTGTTTGTAAAGAATAGGATAAATAAAATAACTTATATACGATAGAGTCTTGGCCGTGAACCCTCGCTCTTATAGAGTGTAATTGAGGGCTGATTGTGCGCTGGGCGCGGGCGGCCAGCTAGCTGACCGCGGGTATCCCTGTGGACAGGGGAGAAAGAATTCTTCCAAGGGCCTCACACCTGTCGTAAAAGGCGACTAAAGTGACGTTGAGCCGAACGTTAAGTGGCGCAATTAGCGCCTAGCGCTACTAGTCGGCCCGTGGTCGTAGGGGGCCCCCTTTGGGGAGAACCACAAAAGCCAAGGTACGCCCATATAATTAATAAAATATAAATAATGTTTTTAGACTTGGCATGATATAAAGGCAGATGCCAAAAAAAAAAAAGCAAAAATTAATTCTGAATTACGGAAAACTGGGGGGCGGCATAGGAAATGCTATGCCACTAAATGCCGTCGATGAAGCGGTAGTTGGGATTTTAGGGAATATTCCGGTTAGTGGAGACCCGCATATTGCCCAGTCACGGTGCACGTTCAACCCACCGACTGACGGGTAAGTTTATTGTCAAATGACAATGTAATTTTTTTTATATAATTAAATAAATGAAACAATTAAAAACAGTGGTTAAAATGATTATAAATTGTATAGTTGGATACCATTGATGCCATCCACATCGTATGCAGCTGAAGAACAGCATTACGAGGGCAATGTTTTAACGTAAGTCTGGTATTGTTAAATTGCTGAATGTGATTATTTAAAACTATTTTGAATAATATATAATACTTCTTATACATTTTGGTAGGGGCTTGGATCAAACGGTACAATCATTGAATGAGGGAAGCGTAAATGAGAACAGTACTACTCATAACGATTTGCCAAAAACCGTTAAAACAAATAAATCGTACGTATCTTTTTGAAACAACCTAAGTAATTTTAAAATAATCGCTATCAATAATAATAAGTAATGCTCTCCCGCCTCTAAGTCCGCCTATGTATATAGTTTGAACAACTAACAGAGGAAGATGTGAGAGGGGGAATCGATTCGGTTATGGTGGAGGGGGGGGGGCAAACGTATGCCAATGGAAGTAGTAACTACAAGTTTATTAAATATGTTGCAAAATCAAAAGCAAATATAAAAAAACAGACTTTTTAGCAGTTTTTTATGATTTTGAGAAATTTTGTACTTTTTCAAAACTCTGTATCTTAGTACCTATGCGGTCAAAAAAAAATTTTTATTTATAAAAATTGTAGAAAATTTAGTCTTCTACAATTTACTAATTCAATGTTATCAGCTAAAATTAACCGTTTTTGAAATATATCGAAAAAACCAAAAAAAGTGCAAACATTTTGGGGTTTTCCCCCTCCCCAAAATTCCACAGTATATTGTGCACATATATACTATTTTTAAAAAAATCAGAATAATTTTATCTAATGTATGCTTTATAAATAACATTAAGATAATATATAGATTATAGAATTGTCAGTAATAACATAACGACTTTATAGCATATACTTATATAAAAAAAATGTTTAGGAGACCTAAGACTTCCAAACGAGCTTGCGTCGAAAAAGCTGCGGATGCGACACGGAACCTTGGAGCAATAAGTGAGGCTCAAAATGAAATACTGAACCAATATTACAAGAAAAAAATGGAACACATGGATACAATTATAGCTCTCGAAGAGGAAAAATTTAGATTAAAACCTTTGTTAGATCAATTTTGGACTATAATTCAATAATTTGGTCTCCTTACACATCAGGTCCAATTCATTCGCTAGAGGCGATTCAAAATCGCTTTTTGACAATTATAAGTATCAAATGTAATATTCAACGTTTGCCTCACACTTCATATGAACCATTATTATCATATTTAAACATTCTTCAGGTCAGAAGGGTAAAACATGACATTTGTTTTATATATAAACTTTTAAACGGTTATGTTAACTGTCTGGATTTATTATCTAGTATTTCTTTTTTAGTTCCTGGTCGTACGACTAGACAAACTAATAATTTTTATGTGCCATTCCAGCGTACCTCATATGGTAAAAACAACCCTTTAGTTAGATCTACGCAACATGTAAATAATTTCAACATTGACATGTTTATTTGTAATTCTTGTATTACGTTTAATTTATATATTAGTGATTTAATAACTTAATTTATTGTACCTACACATAAACCTTTATCTATGTAAATATTTTATACACATATAATTTCTCATTGGGCTCGCCCGTTTAATAATAATAAATAAATAAACAAGTAGATTGACTCTATGTGCTAACAGACCCAAAAAACATATAATTTGACCACTTTTGAAGCCTTTTACATAAAAAATCCAGAAAAATGTTTTAGCTTCGATGCAGAGCGGCGACGGTATTGGTTCTCTTCTGATGTGGTTTTTTTTTTTATCTGTATACACTGTAACTTTTTTAATACTGGACCAATTCCTTCCAGCAGCAACTCTATAAATCACAAATTTCATCTAGTTTGTACTTGGGAGGGGGGGGGGTAAAAGTTGTAAAAACAAAAAAAAACCATACGAGTTTTTAAGTTAGAACTTTAGTACAAACACGGTGTACCAGATGTGAGAAACGAACAGACGCTTATAACTGTCGGTTGGTAACGTCGACCCGTGTTAGGTTAGGTAGGACCAACGGTCGGTATCATATATTATGTTTATTACATGATATTGCAGACGACGTGATTTTATTCACTTTTATTTATAACAATTCCTGTAGACCTGTGACATCTACGTCGCCTCGTTACCTTGATTCCATTATGCCTATATTTTACTGTACTAGGCCTCTCGGATAAAATCACTTTCAAATTACGCTTTGATGCTTTTATTATGTAATTTGATTGGTCATTTCAAAAACGACACAAGTCACAAAATTGAAATTTTACAATAGCCACAAACAACTTTATAACTTCATAAATAGTTTTTGTAGTGATTCTAATTTCTTGAACTCAACATTTGTATTAAATATGAGTCTGACAAATTTAGTTTTCACACAGAATACGTAACTAAGTATATAATTATAAAAAAAAAGTAAATAGTCATTTTTGAAAAATCGGTGACTAAAGTGGTTTTTGAAACGACCTATTCAATTTAATACTTTTTAATTTTGATGGTTTATACTGTGCATGGTTTGGAATGTACTGGATTGAAAATACTAACTACCGATTTGCATCGAAGCTTTTTTTTTTAAAAGTGATTTTATCACTTTCAGATTTAAAAATTCCTGTAAACCTGTGACCTCCCCGTTTCCTCTATGCCCCGATCCCACTATGCTTTGTCCCCACTGTACCGGTTTTTTTAGTTATGGACACTACATATTTTCTTTCATTACTTGATATAAAATTAGCAATTAATTTAATTAGGAAACAGGACTCTAAAACCGTTATTATTAAATCTGTGAATAATGTTTAAAATACTACATTATAATAACATATTAATATTATTAATTTATCTATTACTATTAGTTATACTTTTAAAATACAATTTTCAAAATTTTCCTCATTATCAAATGTGTAATTATTAATATTATAGTTTTAAATAAAAGTGCTTAATATTAATTTACTTTAAATACGAGTAAACATTGTTTTAGTGGTACCCAGCGCAATTATCAAACTTCTAGGTACATACATTTTTTATAATTTGTATTCATTAGTGTTTGAAAATGTATTATATCTATAAGTAAATATTAATCATTTAAAAAAAATGAAGTAACTGAATAAATTATTTTTAGCCAGTTCAAATGTAATTACCAATTACCGTCAAAATCGATAAAACCTCTATCGTTGCTGTGAGTAACAATTATTGTTATCGAAAAATGTACCAATCATTTCGTCATATATTTCTCCAATTATCGAAAACAAAATATTTTTGTTAAAAAATGTATATTATTATGTATAAAACAGCTAAATTGTTTACACCTTACCTATCTAAAATCACAAATGTAAGACATAGTACGTGTGCGGCAATAGCCATTAATGGTTTTGGTCGTATAGGAAAATGCTTGCTGCGATTGGCTATGGAAAAAGACATCAATGTAAGTAACACATCTCCCGCTCCTAAAAGAAGGCACGGTGCATAAACTAATCTAATTTAGGTGCTATTGTTTTAAATACCGATTAAAACCAATTCCCTTTAAAATTTAGGTGGTTGCCATTAACCAACCTTTTTTTGATAATGAACAAATAGCGCGTTCGTTTCAAAATGACACCGTACATGGACCATATGATGGGAAAATAGATGTTCAAGATAAATGTTTAGTTATAAATGGTATAAAAGGCATTTAGAAACTAAACTAATACAGGAATGTGTATTAGTTGTGACTAGATTATTTTAGACAGATTGTACTAAACTTATGATTTGTAGGGAAAACTATAAATGTTTTTCATGAAACCAAGCTGGAAGACATCAAGTGGAAAGATGTATCTGCAAGTTACGTTCTTGAGGCATCTGGAAAGTTCACCACGGTGGAGTTAGCTAAGGTCATATTAATATACTGCAGCACTATAGTTTCATTGATTTGCGTGCAATATCTCAAAACATTTTATTCCTAATGTATCAAAGATAAATATTTTTTGATTATCATTGCAGAAACATATATCCGCAGGAGCAAAGAAGGTTGTCATAACTACTCCCAGCAAAGACGCTCCGATGTTCGTCAAAGGAGTGAATTTCGACAACTACTGTAAATCTATGGAAGTCGTATCGAACGCATCTTGCACTACTAATTGCGCAGCTCCGTTGATTAAGATATTGCACGATAAGTTCTGTGTAAAAAGCGGTTTACTCACTACCGTACATGCTTTAACAGCTTCACAAACCATTCTCGACGCGTTGAAAAATGTAAGCAATGAACAGTCGACACGAGTAATAAATACTAGATGTTAGCGACGTTCATAATATACGAGTTTTAGAGGTCCGGTCCTGGTAACGCTGTTCCAAGTACGACTGGAGCCGCTAAAGCAGTAGGAATAGTAATACCAGAACTGCTAGGCAAAATACAAGGAGACGCTGTCAGAGTGCCAACATTGGACGTTTCCCTGTTGAAGCTCTTCGTCAAGTAACATAAACTTACATAACGATATACCATTAGAACGCTAGATGGGTGATGGGTGTTCAATAAGACGTATTGTCTTTACAGCGTCAAAAAAGATGCCAGCGTGGACGAAATTAAAAAAGAAATAGTAGATCAAGCAGAGGGATGCATGAGTAATGTTGTTTATTATAACGAAGGGCGTAATGTAAGCGCTGATTACGTCGGTTGCCAGTTCTCAGCTATAGTAGACTTCAATCAAATAAATGTGATTGACAAGTTCATCACAATTGGCGCATGGTACGATAACGAGATGGGATACGCTAGTAGAGTGTTAGATCTCGTAAGACATATGATTGAAAAAGATGGCCAGTGAGAAACAATAAGAGCCAAGATGTATTTGTAACGTTTGTATCGTAGATTGTTAGCATAATGCCATTTCTTTGGTGATTCTGTGTTAAACTGGTTTATATAAGAAATCGTATATTAGTATTGCAATTTAATATTGTAATCCTATCGTTAAAAAACATATTTTGTTGTCTAACAAAAATATACCGTTATTTATAATGTAAAATTGTGTTCTACATTTTATGAAAAAACTGTTAGCTCATGATTTAACTGTGTAACAACTTGAACTACGCCTTATCATCATTGGTGAACTTGGTTAAATTGGTATACTTTGTTTTTTTTTTACCAAATAAGAAAAATTAATAGAATTATCTACTACTACTGCCCATATATCACTGAATAGAGCAAATAATGTTCAAAAAATAAACATGCAAATATAATTGTCTTTGTTTTTTTGTTGCTTACATTATACGCCTACAATTTTTTTTACTTTAGATACGATATAATCAAAAAAATTACGACCCCATTCCCACCCCAATTCCAGTCCACCCCATCTCCATTTCCACCCTCATAAGGACATACAAGGATGACGCGGTCGCATCGCGACTCCGGTGGTGGGCGAGTGCTAATCACACTCGCCACCGCCGGATGGCGCCCGCGCCCGCTTTTTCCTCCAGTCGTCCGACAGGCCGCGCTCGCCGCACGGACGGGTTGGCGGCAGCAGCCGCCGCCGCCGTTGGCTATCAACACTTTTACACTTTCACTTCGACTGGAAAAGCGTCTATATGACAATTTTGTTTTTATTTTTGAATATTCATTGTATACTAATAAATTCATATCGATGACCATGCGGTTCTATATGACGGACCCGTCATCCCCCCCACTCCAACAGTTTAACATCCCTTCGGTGATTAATGGCCAACCGGAGTCTAACCCGGAGGTACAGGCCGAAGAGGAGGTACCGCCCTCCCGGGCTGACCTAGAATCCGAATCGGAGTGGTCGCTTACCCGGGACCTGTACATGCGTCTATGTGAGGTCATAGACGAGTACATGGGCCGGACCGAAGCGCTGGAAGCTTCGGTGTCGGCCGAGCGGGTCCGGACCGAAGAACTGGAGACCACGGTGACACTCCAGCGGGAGTGTATCGTGCGGCTCGAGGGGAAGCTTGACCAGGCCCGGTCACAGCTCAACGCTCTCGAGGAGTCCAGTCGGAAACAGGAGGGAGGAATCGGTAGTACAAACCGAGGTACCATCCCGAACTTACCTCCTCCACGGTCAACTACGGAGGTTTGGACGGACGAGTCCCGACAAGGCCCGGACAAAATGGCCTAGGGAGTGTCCTGGACAATATGGTCCGAAGAGTTCAAACTTCGATACCGGACCCCCACCTCCACTTCAGACCTCCATAGCGATCTCCGGTACCAATTACCGGCCTTCGGTGGAAAACACCCGGACAACAAAATCTTCCGGTCAGAACCAAATTTGGTCCCGTGAAAGCGCCCATTTCACGGGGGCAAAATCTTTGGGGTGTGATTTCTCCGGTGGAAATCCGAATTTCTCGGAGAATTTTTCAATTCCTTCGGTAGAAATCAGGTGCAGACCACTTTCCCGGACAAAATGACCGTGAAGACGGGTTAAACGAAGGCCAGACCCATCCAAACTTGGAGTCCACGGGTATTTTCGGAGGCCGAACGGAAGAAAGGACCAGGGAATCGAGAAGGGATAGACATGTCACTTTCCAGGAGACATCCCTTATCTCCCACGAGAGCCTGCAGTTAGCGAGATCTTCCTTGCCGGAGTTTTCCGGAAAAAGGCAAGAAGATCCGATTGCCTTTATAACTGAGGCTGAAGCGGTCCTTGAGGAAGCGGGCATTCCTCACCACCGATGGGTAAGAGTGTTGTCGCCACAGCTTAAGGCGGAAGCCGGAAACTGGTGGGGCACACTACGGGCGTTGAACCCCGGTTGGACGGAATTCCGGCAAGAATTCCTCCGGCGGTTCGACAACGACACGACCCGGACCCAGATAAGAAGCGACTTCCACGGAGCCCAGCAAGGCTCACGGCAATCCCTTGGGGAGTTTGTGATGTGGAAGTACCAGCTCGCTCGACGCCTCGATCTCCGACTGACTGAGCCGGAGTTGATCGAGGCGATCACGAGCCTAATGCGGAGTGACTGCCGCGTTCAGGCTCGCTTACGGCGTCCACGCACACTGAACGAGCTGAGAGAGCTCGCAAGTGCGCTGGACAGTGAGGACCTGACTCGTCCTACTCCTGCCGTAGAAAATCGTTGGTCCACCGAAGGGAAGTATTCTCGGTGGACAAACAACCGACCGCAACCGGAGAAATCCGAAGAAAAACGGGGCAACCCGGAAGGACACCGGACAAACACCGGAAAGGACCGGACAGGCCTGGAGTTTTCGGAGAGAAAAATCCGAAAAAAGCCGGAAAACGCGGGGTCATTGTGCCGGGAGTGTAATCGCCCCGGACACTGGCGAGCGAATTGCCCGGAGCGGTCAAAGGCAAGTCGGGAAACGGGCAGAGTTCCGGTCGTTTCATGGGAAACCGACCGGACAAACGACAATAGATTCCCCGAAAACCCGAAGGTGCAAACCCGGCTACAGCATGTCCGACCAGGACTCGCACGTTGTACCGGGTAAGCACCGAAAAAACCGATTTGCGGCCTTAACATCCGGAGAAGTGGAGTTTCCACGGAAGAAAGCGACCGAGGAGGGAAGAGTTTCGGACACACAGGGGTGTGGCATCAATCCTGACCAAGGAGAACAAGGTGCCCATCCCGAGAACAGTATGCCGATCAAATTCCCGGAAGACCCGGAACAAGACCGATTAACAACTCAGTTGTTATCAGTCCCGGCGTTTATCTCAGCCACACTTTCGGCGGAGTCAACTCTTCCGAGGATAAATCGGACAAGAGTTAAATCCGATACAGACTCACTGTACGACATACGGTTGAGGGCTGCGGATTTATGGTCCGATGAAACGGATCCCACTGCGAAAAGCTATACTACCGACGTCAAGTCCGACCAGGACGAACAAGTCGTTCGGCAGTTTCCGCTTGACGGAGTAAGGAGAAAAACTTCACCCACTGCCAAAAGTCTTAATCAATGTTGCAAGTCTGACCAAGACACACAGTCTGCATTGATTATGAAGGCTAATGGACCGGTGAAGTTTCCGCAAAACGGAGTAAAGGGCCACAATACGGGTAAACATAAATTCGGGGCCATAATGGACCGAAGTAACCCGAAAAAGATCTCCGTACTTAAAATACGTAAGTGGCAGGCCGAAGATCGCGTTATATCCGAGTGCATTCGGAAATTGCAAAGCGATAGCCCAGTATTTCGTCGCCTACACGAGTATTATCACATGCAAGATGGTATACTCCTAAAAGGCCCGGAGACGCTCGGAGACTATGTAACCGTAGTACCGTCCGTAATGGCTGATAATCTTTTGAGGAGATATCACGACCATGAAACGTCCGGATTTCCAAGTTGGAAAGAAACGTACAGAGCACTCTGTAAACGTTTCTATTGGCCCAAAATACGGGAGTCGGTCCGTCGATACGTTGCAAGGTGTGACACATGTGCATGTGCCAACCCCTTCAACCGTAAAACGGAAGAATCCCACAAGGGAGTGACGCAAAGTACCCGACATTTAACCCTCACCGGGCAACACCAAATGAGAACTCGATTTCTCACCGAACAACCGGGTAAACCCGAAAGTTTCAACGAAAAACATCCGGTGTCCGGAGATGTCGGCCGAACGTCCGGTGAAAACCTCGTTCTTTCCGGTGGGGGAGGGAACTCTTTCGGTAAATTCGGGGTGTTACCCGGTAAAAAGGGAGTGCTCCCAAAAACCCGAAAGCGCAAACCCGGTAATAACAAGTCCGACCAGGACACAAACGTTGTACCGGAGAGGCGCCAAAGGATGGCAAACCCGAATAAAACATTCATGGACAGAATGCGGGTAATGAGTTTGGCGGTTCCGTACACAGCTACAGCCATAGCAGACCTAGAAGTCCCAGCCATAGGACCTCTGGTCAGAACCGCAACCAGCCCAGCAGCCAACGACCCCACAGACATGACCACGGATCCGGACGGTCATTGTCCCGTCTAACGCCGGCTCAGACGCCGTCCGCCCCAACCACGCCTGTCCAGCACCAACCATTGGCCCAGACGTCACCCATGACACCCACTCGCCGCGGCACGGACTCGGTCACGCCAACCACGCCCGGCCAGCAGCCACCGTCATCCCAGCCATCGCCTGCACCGAGGTCATGGAGGTCACGCCGGCCATCAACGGGTTCCTGGAGGCTACCCCGCTAGTCCTTCCGGATTGAAGCCCGACCTGTCGGACTGGGGGGGGAGTATGACGCGGTCGCATCGCGACTCCGGTGGTGGGCGAGTGCTAATCACACTCGCCACCGCCGGATGGCGCCCGCGCCCGCTTTTCCCTCCAGTCGTCCGACAGGCCGCGCTCGCCGCACGGACGGGCTGGCGGCAGCAGCCGCCGCCGCCGTTGGCTATCAACACTTTTACACTTTCACTTCGACTGGAAAAACGTCTATATGACAATTTTGTTTTTATTTTTGAATATTCATTGTATACTAATAAATTCATATTTAATACTCGAACCCCAGGCTACCTTTCAATATACCCTATTCCTTACCTCAACTACAACAAGGATATAGAAAGATATATATACAAGGATAAATTGTCTATGTTGGTGTCGATTTTTCCGGTTGTGTTCCAAAGTAAAGACATAAAAATGTCAAAAATTTGGTTTCGTTCCTTGCTCGAAATTAATTTTTCGCAGCAGAAATGATGTTGATTATCATTCTCAGATAGACATCATAGTGTTCCGGAGTTGGTTACACGACATGTTGCGGCACCTAGAAGAGCCTTGTGTTATCGTGATGGACAATGCTCCTTATCATAGCATGCTGGTAGAAAATGTACCGAAATCAAAAACCCGGAAAGCTGAAGGTAGTAAAATGGCTTACATCTAAGGGC